GATTTGTTTGAACTCCTTGCAGATTCTGAATACTAGTCTTTTGTCAAATGCGTAGTTTGCGAATATTTTCTCCTACTCTATGGGTTGTCTGCTTACTCTACAAATTTTTTTTTTTTCTTTGCAGAAGCTTTTTTAGTTTAATTAGTTTCCATTTATTTATTTTTGTATTTGTTGCATTTGCTTTTGGGGTCTTAGTCATGAATCCTTTGCCTAAGCCAATGTTGAGATGAGTTTCTCTGATGTTATCTTCTAGAACTGTTATGATTTCAGGTGTTAGATTTAAATCTTTGATCCATCTTGAGCTTATTTTTGTATAAGGTGAGTTGGAGATCCAGTTTCATTTTTCTACATGTGGCTTACCAGTTTTCCAAGCACCATTTATTAAATAGGGTGCCCCTTCCTCAGTTTATGTTTTTGTATGCTTTGTCAAAGATCAGTTGGTTGTAAATATTCGGCTTTATTTCTGGGCTCTCTATTCTGTTCCATTGGTCTACATGCTCGCCCCTCCCTTGTTTTTTTTTTTGAGATGGAGTCTCGCTCTGTCGCCCAGGCTGGAGTGCAGTGGTGCTATCTCAACTCACTGCAAGCTCTGCCTCCTAGGTTCACGCCATTCTCTTGCCTCAGCCTCCCGAGTAGCTGGGACTACAGGCACCCACCACCACGCCTGGCTAATTTTTTTTTTGTTTAGTAGAGATAGGGTTTCACCGTGTTAGCCAGAGTGGTCTCGATCTCCTGACCTCATGACTCACCCACCTCGGACTCCCAAAGTGCTGGGATTACGGGTTTCAGCCACTGTGCCCTGCTGGTCTACGTGCCTTTTTAAATAACAGTACCATGCTGTTTTGGTAACTATATCCTTGTTACATAGTCAGGTAATGTGATGCCTCCAGCTTTGTTCTTTTTGCTTGGTATTGCTTTGGCATGAAGTTTCCTTTCTGGTTCCATATGAATTTTAGGATTTTTTTTTTTCTAGTTTTGTGAATGATGATGGTATTTTTCTGGAAATGACACTGAATCTGTAGATTGCTTTGGGTGGTATGGCCATTTTCACAATATTGATTCTTCCCATCCATAAGCATGGGATGTGTTTCCATTTGTTTGTGTCATCTATGATTTCTTTCAGAAGTATTTTGTAGTTTTTCTTGTAGATATTTTTCACCTCCTTAGTTAAGTATATTCCTAAATATTTATGTATATGTATTTGAAGCTGTTGTAAACAGGATTGAGTTCTTGATTTAATTATCAGCTTGGTCATTGTTGGTGTATAGCAGTGCTACTGATTTGTGTACATTGATTTTGTAACCTGAGGCTTTACTGAATTCATTTATCAGATCCAAGAGCTTTTTGGATGAGTCTTTAGGGTTTTCTAGGTATAGAATCGTATCATCAGTGAACAGTGATAGTTTGACTTCTTCTTTTCCAATTTGGATGCCCTTTATTTCTTTCTGTTCTCTGATTGCTCAGGCTAGGTCTTTCTGGGGTATCGTTTTAAAAAAACATTTATCAGTAATTGAACACAACTATCTTTTCTCACTGAAATAATTGTGCCTCCTTTAAATACTATACAGAACATCCGTCAAACCATATGAATCTTTTTTTTGTTATAACAATGACCATCACAGTTATTTGAATTTTCCTCTATGATTTTAAGTGAGATACACCTGAGTCCTAGGACATCTTCTCCCTTGTTGGAATGTTTTGGAATTGTTGGTTGACTGGGTTTGGATGATGTATTAAAGAGAGATATTCCCTGTGTACATAGATGGTATTGCAGTGTAAACATTTGTGAACAATCTAAATATTCACTGCATTAGTTTCCTAAGGCTGCCATAACAACATACCAAAAAATGGCAGCTTAAAACAATAAAAATTAATCATCCTACAGTTCTGGAGGCTAGAAGTCAAAAAGCAAGGCATTAGCAGAGACAAACTCCCTCTTGAAGCCTTTAGAGCAGAATCCTTTCTTGCCTCTTCCAAGCTGGTGGTGGTTTGTCAGCAATCTCTAGTATTCTCTCCTGTGTCTGCATCTCTGTATCTCTGTCTCTTATAAAGACATCAGCCATTTCAGCCCAACTTAATTCAGTACGGCCTCATCTTAACTTAATTACATCTGTGAAGACTCTATTGAAATGAGGTCACATTCACCAGAACTGAAGGTTAGGATTTTAATATAACTTTTTGGGAAACACAAGTCAATCCATGACATTCATCAGTTGGAAAGTCATTAAGTAGAGCATGTTATAATTATAATATAAAATGTCATGAAGTAGACCTATATGTACTGATATGACAAGATATCAAAGACCTATTGTTAATAGAATAAAAAGGTTGCAGACCAATATGTAAAATATGGTCCTATGTGTGTAAAAAAGATCTGTCTTTATATCTACATAATCTATGTAACTCTCTTACTTTTATCTTTACTCATGTTTATATCTATACTCATATTATTTTCTCTCTTCTGTGACACTATGGAGAGAAGAGTAGGCAAATGGAGAAGAATGAACAGTCTTTCATAATATGAATCTTATCATGTATTACTGGTATAGTTTTTCAATTATTAGAGAAAAAACATAAATCACCAAAGAAACAGTGACGGACAGAGATAGGAAAGATTTTTTTTGGTGGTTGTCTTAAATTAGCTTCATTTTTTCTTTTTTGAGACAGTCTTGCTTTGTTGCCTAAGCTGGAATGCAGTGGCACAATCGTGGCTCACTGCAACCTCCGCCTCCCAGGTTCAAGAGATTGTCCTGCCTCAGCCTCCTGAGTAGCTGGGACTACAGGAACGCACCACCACATCATCTTATTTTTGCATTTTTAATAGAGATGGGGTTTAACCATGTTGGCCGGGCTGGTCTCGAACTCCTGACCTCAAGCGATCCCACCTGCCTCGGCCTCCCAAAGTGCTGGAAAATTAACTTCATTCTTATTCATTTCAGCAATGTAGACAAATCATTCGTGGTTTCTGAAACTTTCCTTCTTTTCTAAATCTACAAAAGTTATTTGCTGTTTTTTCTCTCAGCCTCATAATTTACTTTACTTACATAACCATTTGAAAACTTGATTGAAGTATCTCAAAGAAAGGAAATGAATGCAGTGATATATTACCACTTGAGTTTAGTATCTGGAACTTGCTTATGTGGGAACAAGGTCTTTCAAATAAAGTGAAGGCAAGCAAAAGATGTTCAGGAGGTGGTATTTCAGTTATATATAAGTTTTTAATCTCCACCAAACCCTATTATATACAGGGCATTCCTTTTTTTCTCCCCCTTCCTCCTCCTCATCCTCTTTTTCACTTCCTCTTTCCTTTCTCTTCTTTCATTTGCTCTGCTCTCACATTGCCCGATCTCATTACATTTAAACTTTTCTTTTTACCTTCCATTAAAAAAATCCAACATTGAAACTCCACAGGAAAATAAAATATTTGACGCTTTCTAATGTCTTTTTGTTGTCTATCTTTTCATTATGGATATTTTCAAATATACACACAAAAGAGGGAATTTACAATAATAACCAAACACATACTCTTACGTGTCTATCAACCAGTTTCGATGGTTACTAACATTTTCATATTCTAAGTCCATGCATAAACATTGTATTTTATTTAACTTTCTGTTGGAATATTGAAATAAAATCACAGATATCATACATTTCAGTTGCAAATATTTCAGTTTGTATTTGATATCTTTTTCAAAACAAAAGTAAGACTTCACTGACTTAGGAATACTTTCTCAAACATAGGATTTAGCACCCTGTCAGAGACCCCAGGGGATGGGTAAAGTTAACTGCTTGGATGGTTCTTAGAAGCCTGGAAAAAGTGGTAGCCCTGCTGAGTGAAATTGAAATGCTTGAGTTGCTAAGGCAGATTTTAGAGGAAGCAAAAATGCTGAGGGAGGTGAGCATGCTGGAATGGATATATTATGAGATCAGTAGACTCCCCAGAGGATTACCTTACATGGAAAGACCCAGAGAACACTCTATTCATTCAAGCCACTGGGTATGGCTCAGAGGGGCAGCCAATGAGAGCGATAGCCACAGGGGGTCCTGCCTACTTTTACCATCCAAAGAAGACAAGAAAAAAGGAACTGAAGGATGGGAAATGGCTGCTAAATAAAACGTCATGATTCCTTGCTCAGCTGACTTTTCCATACTTAGCCAATTGTCAAATTAGGAACTCAATAATTTTAGGGATGGCCAGATCAAGAAGAAAACCCTGCAATGCCATTGCACGTATGTACCATAAAAATATCTCTAGGCCTTCCCCAAATGGACTTAGGGACATTTACTTGGGTCACAATACACTGTACATAGGGGAAATGACAATGTCCAAATATTTTTGAGGACTAGTGGACACAGAGTCCGAGTTGACATTGACGCCTTGAGTCTTGAAGGATCATTGCAACTTCCTTCTTAGTGTGGAGACACCAGGGAGACAGATAAAATATGGAGTGCTGGCTAAAGCCTACCTTACAAGGGGCCCATTCCTTGTCAGTAGTGTATAATTGGGATTGCCATAGTTGCCAACAAACCTTCACTGGAGTTTTTGACTTGTGGGTTAAGATCTACTATGTGGGGAAATGACAAGTGTAAAACTTGAAACTGTCTCAAATGCAAGACAAGATGTTAAATATAAAACTATTCTGGTGTGTATGTATAAAAACTACTGTCAAACTTAAAGATCTAAAAAATGCATGGGTGGAGGTTCCTATCATATCCATCTGGTTAGCCACTATGGCCCCTGTAGAAATTGGATGGATGCTAAAGAATCCACTACTCCACTGTCACCCAATGGACAGCCCCAACTGCAGCTGCCATGCCAGCCATGGTATCATTGGTAGAGCAGAGTAATTATGTCTCAGGGACATCCTATGTGGTCTTTTATTTGGCAAATGTGTTCTTTTCCATTCTCAGTAGAACAGAAACAATGTGCACTCGTGTGAACAACAGTTAATTTAGTGTTGCCTTAGATACTAACTCTACTACTTTCTGTCATAACATAGTTCAAGGAGATTGGAACCACCAGGACCATCTGGATATCCCACAGAAGACCACACTGATCCATTATTACACTGATGACATCATGCTGATTGGGCAAGACAAGCAAGCGGTAACTAGGTCTTGGTAATCCAGAGGATGGAAGATACATTTATGGAGACTTATGGCCTTGACACATGGGTGAAGTTTTTAGGGAACATACTCAGGAGTGTGTCAGGATATCTCTTCCAAATAAAAGATAAATTGCTGCACAATGCCTAATGGTCCTCTTTTGGTTCTAGAGGCAGTATATTCTATACCCAGAAGCTGTGCCCTGGCCCATATACACAAAGGCTATCAGCTATGACACAGCACCCTTGATCCTTGCACCATATGGTTCAGTCAACACGATGCTATTGTGCAGGGGCCTTTGAAAACAGTATGCTGAGAATAGATAGGGCTCAAGGACAGTAGCTCCAACTGAACTTTTAATGAACTTTCATAGGCGCCAAGAAGGCGAGTAGATAAGAAAGAATATAGAAACAAGGTACTGAGTAGAAGGTTACATGTGGGAAAAGAAAGTTTGTTTTGCATTGCATTTTTTCTGCAGACGTGAGGTTTATGGAGTATAAATAAAGTGAGGCGGAGGCTCTGAGTGCGGCCGCCATGTTCTCTGTGTGTCTTTGTCTTTGTGTGTGTTCTTTCATTCTCCACCACCCCCGGTGCGGCCCCCAACACTATTGGAAATACTCTATGTTTAAAAAAGATTCATTATGAAATTTATGGCCAGCACCAGTGAAATAATTACAATGCAGGCTTCTGTTGTTCTGGAGAAAGACCAAGCCATATGCACTAGAGAATGATATACTTTCTGAGAAACAGCCCCAGGAGTGCTACTGAGTCCTTGTAGAATACTTAATCACGGGTACCAACTGACCATGCATCCCTAATTTCTTATTATGCTCTGAGTTCTGCCAGACCTGCCAAATCATAAGGCCAGAGAAACCAGCTGTGGCCCATTGCACAATAGAAGTAGTATGTCCAGAATTAAGACTTTAGGGATCAAAATGATATACCCAGGATCATGTAAGTAGGGATGCTTTAACAATGGAAACAGGCACAAATATATGGTATTTCAAAGCATACGGAATCCAAGGGATCCAAGTGGGTCCATTTTGTTACTTTCTTACCCACTTGTAATTGTGAATACACAAATGCTGCAACCCTGTCCTGAGGAGAGTCTGATTATCAGAGTCTCAGACCTTTCAGAAATGAGGCTTTGGGTAGTATTATCAGGTAAGCAATGATAGCAGAGGGTAAGGAGAACTGAGGATGGTTAGTGAAGTAGGGAGGCAGTCAGCCCCAGTCGCAGCCCATGGTCAGCCGTAGTGGCAGGGGAAACAAGTTTGTCTTACTAACTTTCCTTTTCTACGTTTCCCTCAGGAAGCAAGGCCCACAGAAGCTGCTGTGTGAACATGTGTGGAGATGTGAATCCATACAGCACAAAGGGTGGACTGTGACACCTATGAGGTGTGTTGCACAGATATTTTTAAGAGAGAAACTACTGTAAGGATGATTGTAAGCTGACAGCGTCCAACTGCTTTGGGATCTACTGCTGCATTCAGCCCAAGGTCATTCTTTACTTAGGTTGCTCTCAATCAATGAGTAAGCATGACAGGGGTACTGGAGCCAAGCTTTTTCTTTCCCGTGTCTGGCAATCTTTGCTCTGAGGCTCCAATCAGCCTGGCTGACGCTGCCTTAGAGCTGCATTGCAGCCTGACATTTTCCCTTCTCTATCCTCCTTCTTTCCTCTTATTTTTCTGTACATATCAGATCTGCGTGATGGTCTGAGACTCTTCCTGTATACTTCTGTTTTCTCTCCCCTTTTATTTTTGCCAATGAATGGTTTGTACCTCTCATTTCATCTTGGTGCCTGCTTCCTGGAGGACCCAAACGGATGAAATATACTTGTTTTAAATTTAATGTAATTACTGATATATATTTATTATCCTGATGTTTGCCTTCTAGTTGTCTTAACTATGCTTAATCTCTTTTTCCTTCTTTTGACTTGTTTTAAATTATATTTTATTCCATACATTTAAAATATTAAATTTACTTATAATTATCTATGTTTTTATTATTGTTTAGCTGTTATTGATCCAGAGAGTACACTCTGCAATCCTGAGTTATTAAAGTCTAATATAAATTAATAAATGGACATGTTTTAGACAATGTGAAGACTCTGGAAGACTTTAACTCCATTTATCCTGTTCTCAAATTATGTGGTGTCATTTTCATATATTTAATTCTCTCTTTATTTTTCTTCATATTTTATTTTAATTGCCACTAAGATATATCCCCACACATACTGTTTATTCAGTCTGTATTCACTTACCCACAAATTAGCCTTTCTACTTGAATCATTTTCCTTCTATCTGCATAATGACATTTGTTATTTAGTGCAGCTTTATTCATGAAAAATTATCTCAGTTTGTGTTTCTCTTTAAAAATTTATTTTTATCAGTTTTGTTTTTGGAAGGTATTTTTTTCTGTATATAGAAATCAATATAGCAGATGTTTTCTTTCTGTTCTTTTAAAATATAATTTTATTGTCTTTGGCTTCTATTATTTCTGCCTAGAAATCAGCTGTGAGGTTAATTCATTAATTAAAAGGTTAATTCCTTTGAAGGGTTTTTTTTTTGGCTTTACAACTTTCAAGTTTTTGTTTTTGTTTTTGTTTTTATTTTTTCTGTCTGGTTATTAACCGCTTGACCATGATGAACCTACATGTGATTTAATTCTAGTTCAGCATTATTCCTAGGGTGTAGCTCTATAAAATTTCAATCAAAACCATGTGGTATTTCTTGGGGATCCTCTTTGTGTGTGATCACTGAACTCAAATTTTTGTAGCCTCATGAATTGGTGTAAAGCTCTGCTCAGCTTCTTGGCCCTCAGCTGCCATTTTCAGAGTTGTCAATTCCCTTAAGTGGAAGAGCTTAGCTCTCCAGGCCTCTTTCCTCTGCTTAGACCGTGGCACCCCAGATCTTCACTTTCTTGGGACCTTTCTTATGCTTTTACATAAACTGAAAAAAAAATGCCATACTTCTGAGTTGTTCTCAGTTGGAAGGATATTCTGAAAAACCTGTTGCCAGAAGCAGATTCCTATGTGAGGCACTCAGAGCAGTGTGCAGCCCTATGCAAACATCACCCTTATCACAATACAACTCAGTGATGTGGATTTACTTTCATTTGTTCTGTTCGGCACCAAGAATTTTCCTCCCGATGACTTCTGTTTTTTTTTAATTCAGCAACATTTTCAACCATGTTCTCTGTTCTTTAATTTTGGAAAAATTATGAGGTATATGTTGGAGTTTCTCAATCTATTCTCCTTATTTCGTATCTTCTGAGTTTTTTTTCTTTCTTTATCCCCTATATTTTGTTTTGGGTACATTCCTAACTACTGTCCCCCATTTCACCAATTCTCTCATCAGTTGGATTCTTATCCTAACCTTTCTTGTTTCGGTGATTGTATTTTTCATTCCTATGATTTTAGTTTTCCTCTAGCTCTAATTGTTTTTCATTCATATCTTCCTGTCTTTGCTCCATAATTATTAATTTTGCTTTTGGAAGTGAGAGGAAGACTCAGGGGGATGAAGGGAAGTTCACAAAGGAATCTCCAGCATTTGGCACTATGTTTATTTCTCTTAGGGTGTTTGCTGATGCCAGTGTCTAGAAATTGAGAAGCTAAGTGGAGTTTCAGTGATTTAATGGGGTTCAAGTAAAAATTGCAGTTTCCCCTATATTTTCCTAGTGATTTGTTGTATTAAATAAGTCAGTCAACTTTGGTGACAAAAGTACTCAATATATTTTAGCTGCCATTACTTTGTGTCAATATTGTTATCATTTTTATTATATTTCTTTTCCTCCTCCTCATAACTATGAGGATTTTAAAGGCCCTCTTAGAAGAATGCTTTAATATTTGCTATTATTTTAGAATAATTTCTCCTGTCTTTTGATCTTTATGATGCTCGTTGTTCTCATGCGCTTGGAGATTTTCATTTCCAAGTTCATCTTATGTAGAATTTATGTGTATGTTTATGCACACATGTATGTGTTTTCTCCCTCCTCTCGCCCTGCACATATCTCTGCTTGTATTTTACAACTGCCTTTGCCCAGTGTGCTGAAATCCTCAGCTTGGAATCAGACCTTATTTTGGTGGCATGGGTGTGTCATCCTGAAAGATTATCAGAGTCATTTCGTAAGTCAGCAGGTTTGCTTGACCCAAGTTTGGAATCTTAAATGTTGATACTCTCTCTAGCATGGATGGACCTTTTTATAAAGACTTTGGCCATGGCAAGGAGCCCCGGTCACCCCTGGATTCATGCTACAAAACTCACCCTGATGTCTAAAATGTGTTTGGGATTTATGGTTTTTAATCAACCACCCAGAAATTGATCACCTACATATTTGTTCTGGATTGATCTGGAAGCTCACGAGGTCTGGGGTTCTAACCCAATTTAATTATTTCTGATTTATGAATGTCTAGTTAATATCATTTTAAGCACAATTACAACTTGCAAAATATATGCACATATTTTATCATTGCTACGGGTAGATTTTCAAGTTGTTTATTTAAAGGGTAATCTTATACTACTACTTTGACTAGAATCAAATATTGCTATTATTATCAGTGGTAACAGTAGTAACAGTAGAAGCAGTAGTGGTAATTATCACAGTACTGGTTCACACTAAGCTTGTCATCACCTAAAAGTCTCAGATTTTTTAATATGAATTATTCTAAAGTCAGTGTTTGATTTCCTATATGCGCATAAACTTTGATGTACACTCATATATTTTTCTAAGCAGAAGGGCAGAAACTACCAAATTCAGCTGGGAAGCCATCCAGCTAAAATATTTCTTGACAGTTTTGTAATTTCTAAATTACAAATTAATAGTTAAGAATAAAGCATATAATCCAGATGTTTTGTCAAAGGCAAGTACATGGATCCCTGCTAAATTTGGTTCTATATTAATATATTTAGAAATTACAAACTGTTAAGAAATATTTTAGCTGGATTGCTTCCCAGTTGAAACATAAACATTTTCTTTAAGCAAAAGTAATTTCATGAAATAGATGTAAAATAGTTTCTTCTGTGTCAATTTTTTTCCCCAAAGATTTCTTATTAAATACCCATATGATAAAATCGCTGGCAGCTGCTTCTTTGTTTTCATCCTTTTCTTCCTCTTTCTATTGTTTCTTCCCTCCGTGATGAGGTTGAGATTCCCAGCATCATATCTTTCAGGAAAAATTAATGTATCAGGCAAGATAATCCCATTAATTAATTTGGTTTTTAGTTGTAAAGTGTTGTATTAATCATAATCCTTGCATTGCAGTACATTTGAATCATTAGTTTAG